GACTGTGACCCGGGATGCTTCCATCTAGTTGTGGGGTCCCTGTCCCTTTAAGACTTTCAAAAAGCACTCGCTTTTCTTTGTCCCAGAGGCACCAGCTGCGGGACCGCTCACAGGTCTTACTGTCCTGTTTCCCTAGTTTCCAGCACCCCACGCATGCACTGTGTGTCTGCGCTCTGGTGCGGATGGCTAGGGCTGGGTGTTTAGCAGTCCTGGGCTCCCTCTCCCTCCCCGCTCCAAGTCCTCTCCTCCCGCCGGGAGCTGGGGTGAGGGGCCTCGGATCCCACCAGGCTGCAGCTTGTGTCTTACCCCTTTCACCAGGCACTACGTTTTCGCAGGTGTGGATGTAGTCTGGCTGTTGTCCTGTGTCTTCTGGTCTCTCTTTTAGGAATAGTTGTATTTGTTGTATTTTCAAAAATATATATGTTTTTGGGAGGAGATTCCCACTGTCCTACTCACACCACCATCTTGGCTCTGCTCCATGACTAATGTTTTAAAGTGGAATTTACATCTTTTTCATACTACGCGAGTATGATAGTCTTGCCGCACCTTTATGTAAAAACAGTGGCTTCCCCCCTACCCTACCATTTATCTGAAATAAGTCACTCTGTGCCTCCTCGAAAAGCTTTTCAGAAAGGGAAATGAGATTTTGTTAGAAACAAAGTCCAATTTATAACATAATAGAGACCACTTGCAAACTAATGGAATTTGGAATGGGTCATTTAACCTCTCTGCACCTCTGTTTCCTCTTTAGTGAGAAGGGAATGATTCCTATGGGATAAAATATATTAGTAACAGGAATCCCTGAAGCATAGGATTGCCATGCGTGCGAGTGAGTGAGCACATGGCGAGGCCCTGAGGTAGCATTTGTTAAATAATTAAATCAATGTATTTCATTGAATCCAAAAAGGGTTTAGGAGTGGTTTTAAATTAACATTTTTTTCTTGTGAGTACACCTATTTACATGGTTATTTTCATTGAATACTTCACATCTTGAAGGTTAAATTTAGCTATTGTAATGAGGATATTGAATAACAAAAATGTTAGGCTTATTTAGAGTTCATGTATTTTTAAAAAGAGAAGGTGCTGATAGCTCATTAAAAAAAGTAGAAACAAACTCTTAGATTTATAAATCAAATAGAAAACAGATTTGCTGTACTTGATCCTTACCCAACATTTTCTAGTAACTTTCATTTTTGTGTTTCAGGATTCTTTGGGGATAACTTTTTACCCCTATTCTCAAGGTATCTTTCAGCAGTATTTTATCTAATTTTGAGAGATTTTTATTGATTTTTGAGACAATAGTAAATGTACACTAAATACTTTATTGAAATTGCTGTTTGTTTTGAACATACAAAAATACTTCTTATAAAGTCCCTCAGGTTTCTAGTAATTTAAGCTGATTTCTGATAACTGTATCCTCATATGGAATTTAAAGGATGGTCATACTTTTAAAATGAGATGGTTCGGATGTGATTTCATTATTGAGCACTGTGTTTCTGTTTTATTTTTAACTGCAGGTTATCTTGTCTATGAATTTGACAAATTTTGGTTTGAAGAAAAGCCCGAAAGCATTATGTATTTCAACATGTATAGAGAGAAGTTTTTTGAAAAGATTAAAGGACTCTTACTGGACTATAATGTATCACTTACTTTAAAAATATGAGTCATCCATATTATCTTCTATTTCTACCACATTTTGCACACATAACAGAATTTATATGTTATAATAGAAATTATCTGATCAAGTACACTCCTTAAGTATAATTTCCTACAAAAATATTTCAGAAATTCTATTTAATAAAGCTAGTGGACAATCAGTGTATGTTTACAGTTGTTTATACACTGTCCTCCAAAGGTACCTTATCCTTCCAAAGACCCCACTCTGTCGAGTCATGTGAACTATGGTTTGGAACTCCGGACCTAGCCCATTTAGTGTAAAAGTACAGATAAGGTATTTGTATTAAATTGGTTGATTAAAATGTGTAAAAATCAGTTTACATTTTTATGTGTTTTGCTATCAAGTTGTGTCTTTTCAAACTCTATTATGATTTTTTTTGTTTTTTTCATTTAGAATGATTGTTTTTATTTTCTCCATCTTTTATTTCTAGGTTAATTAACGGAGAGTAGCTCTCCATGGATTTCCTTGTTTGCTTCTTAGTCACGTGTCATAGTGCTACTTCTGGGTACGTCAGAGAGGATGGAGGGTTGTGGCACTTTCTGGTTTCTCTAATTATTTAGCATAATAGATAATGAGAGAATGACAGTATTGGTGACTTTTTTGTTTTTAAACCACACTTTAAAATATCACAGTGTTATTTTAAAATTTAAAGACTTTTCTCATTGTTAATATTTGCTCTTTATCAGTTGTAGAAAAGAACCTTAGTGCTTGGTGTGAGGGCCTTCTCTGAGGCTTCTCTACCTCTGTGTGCTTATGAAAGGAGATGTGTTTGCTAAGAAAATTATGATCTTAGTCAAAAGACAGTTGCTTCTTCAATAAAGCTGTCTTTGAACTTAAATAAGAGGAAACCTTAAAGCTTTTGAAAAATCTTGGTTAAACATCATTGGTTTATTTTATTTACTATTAACTCTTGCTTCTCTTTGCTTTGACCCCTTCCATAGTATTTCTAGATAATGGTGTATGGACTCCATGGGTATTCCCTGAGTTAACAGTCTGTGAGATTTTAAAGTAGCCTGAGAATGGTGACTGTGCATTGTGCATGGCTTCATTCTTCTAAAATCTCAGGAGGGCAGCAAGTGCTGCCAAAGGTTATACAGTGATGAGATTCTAATGGGAACAATTTCGTCTTTGTGCATTTTAAACATTTGTACATGTAACAATGTTTATGAAGTTTAAAGATAGGTTCACCTGATTACTAAGATCTCCTTAAATCCTGCAGAAATTAGTCTCCTTAAATCCTACAGAAGCCAAACTTGCCAAAGACAAGAGTGGTGATAAAGATCCAACTGGAAAATTGGAAAATAACAAAGGCAGTTTTGTATAGCACATACATAAAGAGTGCATGCATTAGAATTATTTTCTCAACAAGATACAACTGTTTTTTAAAATTGGGTTCAATAGTGGTGGTTTAGCTTTTCAGTATTACCGGATTTTAAAAATTGGTTTCTTGTAGGAGACTTTTCAACCTTGGGGATATCTTTTTTTTTTTTTTTATAACTGTTTTCAATGCTTTATCATCCAGCTAGAGTTCTGTGAGATGTTGCAAAATCCTGATAAGGATCAGGTGTTAACCATTCAAGTTATTTTTATCGAGGTGTTTGCTATTAACAATAATGTTGTTCTTTTAATTTTCATGCTGAAAATACTTATCTTTATATTTTAATCTTTCAACAGCTAATGTCTTGAATTTTTTGAAACCTTTGTCATTCTGCTTAATAAGAGAATGATTCAAGTATTAAAGGGGAAACTTTAAGTAATTCAGTTTTTACTCCTTTAGAGAGAAAGAAAACTTTTTTTTATTAAGGTATTATTGATACACACTCTTATGAAGGTTTCACATGAAAAAACAATGTGGTTACTACATTTACCCATATTATCAAGTCACCCCCATTCCCCACTGCAGTCAGTGTCCATCAGTGTAGTAAGATGCCACAGATTCACCATTTGCCTTCTCTGTGTTACACTGTCTTCCCCTGTGACACCATGTGTACTAAACATAATACCCCTCAATCCCCTTCTCCCTACCTACCCACCCTCCCACACGCCTCCCGTTTGGTAACCGCAAAGTCTGTAAGTCTGCTGCTGTTTTGTTCCTTCAGTTTTGTTTCATTGTCATAATCCACAAATGAAGGAAATCATTTGGCAGTGTGAGAAAGAAAACTTTTTAATAATGTTTAAAAAATATCATTAGAAAATTTGTTCTTTGAATCCACCACTGTTGTACAATATAGGTATTGTTCTGTTTTTGTTTAAAATAATCAGTAACCATTTCAGGCAGTTCTATAGTGAATTGGTCTAAAAGCTACCAACAGAATCTAAGGTTTGATAGCCTGGAAGCCAAGCAGTGTGTCACCAGTTGTAAATTAGAACATAACATGAGCCTTCCCCCTTGTATGTGAGTGACATACATGAAAAAAAAGATAGGATAATTGTGTCTGCTGTCTTACTTTTCCTTGCTTTAAACATATGTATGTTAGAGTTTTATGTAGTCTTAAAACCCATATTTAGACTCTTGTTTCTGTAATAATTAATAAAATACCAAAGTAGTGATAGAATTGAAGTAGCAGAAAAATTATGTTTGTTTTAACATCAAAAAGTGAATCAGTGTTCAAGTGAATATTTGTATGTGCCAGATTAAAGAGAGTGTGCCAGTGACAAGAATAGTCTAAAAATATGATACAATCATTGTAGTTCAAATATGTTCTGAAAGACAATCTTTCAAATAATGGGAGAAATCAGGGGGTATCAGTGAACCTACACCAAACCTCTCTTTGTATATCAATAGGGTGGTATAGTTAGATGTGTATAATCAGTGGCCTACTGGCACCATTTTAGTGAAGAAAATAATCTTTTTCTTGAAAATGCTCATCCTGATTTTTTTTCTATTTTAAGATCTACTTGGATTTGTATGTATTTTTCTATTTGAAAATATGTGTACTCTTCATTTTTATTGCAATATTCATAGTTGTTTATGTACCATTTCCCCCTTTGCATTCAGTGAAATAGAGCTTGGTCAAAGATAAGCTCAAAGGAGGAAGTATTACTTGAGTGTGAAAAGTAGAATGCTCATTGCCAGAGCAGAAAGATCACACAATATCATGGCACAGAAGAGAAGAGGTTTGGCTTGTAGGACAATAATGTTTTCTGTCCTTCTTGAATCGATTAGGGACTGGCAGCTGTTTTCTCAGGATAATGGTCCACCCAACTTCCTATGCACAAGTCTGGGAGACTTAATTTCCATTTTCATATTTATGAATCTCTCTCCACACAGGCCGTTTTTTATGAAAATTAAAAGAATTGTTAAAAATCCGAGAGAAATCATAATTGAGCTTTTTACCCCTTGGCTTCAGTTTTTGACAAGAAAGGTTAATAATGTAGTACAGGTAGGGCCGTACTACTTCACTGTCACAGGGCGATTCTGTATTTCTGTTAAGCAGAGTATTTAAAAAATATTTAAGCATTGTCTTTCCCAGGAAGAAAATGTGCTGGTTGGCAACTTAAAAAAAATGAGTTCTGTCTACTTTGGATAAAGCAATTAACTTTTTATGTAAAAGCAATAGTTGAAATGTGATGTCGTTTTGTTTGGAATGTTGTGAGTAAATAAAAACATGTTGAAATTGTGATAAGCCTTTCTGTTAATACCTCTGCTCTCTCCCCACCCTCCCCGTCACTCAGTCAAGTGACTTATGTTCATGAAATGATGCTTTCCTTATTTAGTCTTTTATCCACTCTCCCCACCCGCCCTGTCCTACAAAGCATGGGACTTATTAATACTGCTCTACAGTATGTTTTTCAATTTCTCAACATGTCAGATACATGTGAATATTAAGACATAGCTTCCTTATTATATTTCTTTTTACAGCTGCAAAGCAATTCTCTGTGTGTATCTTATTTTTTTTCGCATTTATTATTTACATTTTATTCTTCATTTTTAAACTTTTTTTAGGTTGTTAACAACAATAAAATTCTGTATAGGGGACTCAATGCTCAATGCACAATCATTAATCCACCCCAAGCCTAATTCTCATCAGTCTCCAATCTTCTGAAGCATAACGAACAAGTTCTTACCTGGTGAACAAATTCTTACTGTGTATCTTATTTTGAACTAAACAAAAATTACTACATATGGAACTGGTCAGATACAGCTAAAGCACTACTTACTAAAGTTAGTACTAATTATAGCTTTAAATACGTATATTAGAAACAAAAAGAAGAGCTGAACATTAAAGACAAAGCAATCATCTCAATGAGTTTGATGAACAACAAAATAAACCTAAAGAAAATGGAGAAAGAAATTAAAGAAAAGAGCTTAGATGCACACCATAAAAAATATGCATAGAACAGGATCAACAAAAGCAAAACTTTGTTGCTTGAAAAGGCAATATGAATAAACCTTGGTGAGATGAATGAAGAATAAAAAAAGCAAATAATGATGTCAAGAATGTATATGAAAAATCACTATAGATCCTACAACTATTGAAAATCTATTAACCTCAAAAATTGAAAAGTTATATTAAATATAAAACTTTCTAGAAAACTTACCCAAATGAAACTGTACAGCAGGAAATAGGGAAGCAAAAAGTCCTAGAGCTATTAAGTGTATTCAGAATTAAAAATCTTTCCATAAAATATCTGCAGTTTTATATGGCTTACACCAGAGAGTTAACATATTTAAGAAGAAAATACCAGTTTTCACAATCCCTTCCAAACAAAGACTATATGCTCTGCAATTGATGAGGCTCTCATAATCTTGGCTAAAACTGAGCCAGGACATAATGAAAAAGAATAATTATATGCCAATGTCATTCTAGATGCAGTGATCCTAAACAAACTATCAGCATACTAAATCCAGAAATATATTTAACATTACATAATAATGAACTACATGTATAGATACTAGTTCCAATGTGTGATCAATCATAGCCCAGAATAAACAACTGTAAAATTTGCCACATGGACATCTGAAAATCACATGATAATCTTAACAGATGAAGGACAAGTATTTGATAAAAATTCAGCATCCATGTTAAAACTTTTAGCAAATGAGAAGTAGGGATTCCTTCATTTTACAAATGTATCTTCATCAACTGTAACCAATATATGTAATGGGGATCAGAACTAAGAAAAACTGTCACCACTTGTATCAGTCAGTTTTTGTCATAACAACAGTGTATAACAACCAACCACACACAAAATCGCAGTGGCAAGCAAAAACATTTCCTCCTCACACATAGTGGAGACTAACCAGGCAGCTTTGCTTGGCTGTCTACCCAGACTGTGGATTCAGTTCTAGTCTGCTGCCTGTGCTGTGACCTTGGCCCAGCATGCCACCCAAGGCAGGCCTTTTTCAGTGTGTGGGAGAAGCATAGGAACAAGCCCAATTGCTCAAACATACTTCAAGCCTTTGCTCACATCACATCCACTATCATTCCCTTGGTACTCGCAGTCCTGTGGCCAAGTTCAACACCAGTGGGGCAGAGAAAGTAGTTTTATTAGGAAGGGGGGAGGCATGAACAATTTCCTGAAAAACTGAAGTTTTCACAGCACATCTGTTCAAAATTGTGCTAGAGATCCTATCTAGTGCAGTAAAGCAAGTGGAGAGGAAAGTTATCGTTCATAAATGGTAGGAAGGTGTGTATAGAAAATCCAAAAGAATTGGTTGTCAGTTATCAAGGGTAACCACATATTGAGGGTGAGGGTTTCTGGCTAAACCAATTTAGCAGGATTCCTGGTAAAAGTGGGCTCCTGAAGACATGAACAAGAATGGGACCTACTTGAAGAAAGTGCCCAGAGGAAGCTGACTAGAGTTCAGTCAAGGAGGAGCATCTTGTCACCACTGCCCATTGCCTGACCAGGATCCCAGCAAAGACGGCATTTTATGTTTTCTTCCTTATTTTCTAAAGAAACGTAATAGTCTAGGGTTGTCATGTGTCTTACTTTGGATTCCTCCAGAATCGGTCCTTGAAACAAGGATATGCATTTCATTTGGAAAGTGATCCCAGATAATACTGTAAGGGAGTAGGGAACTGAAAAAGTTTTTTGTCATCCCATAAAAGGCTTTTTATTAAGCAGAATACTGCAGTAACTGGAGTTTGATCCCACAGAAGTATTCCATGTGAGGATAAGGGGCCTGATACTTATACACCAACTCCCATCTGTTATGGGTCAAGGCTTCTCTTGGGATGTATTTTCCCTGCTTTTCTAGTGTGTCATGCTCAGGTTAGCCAAGATGGTTCTGGTGGCCAGAAGAAGACCTTTTTATATATGCGGACATGACAATAGGAAGTCAGACCAGCGTGTGAGTACTCAAGAGGAAAGAGCAATATGTGTACTATACCAAAGGCATTTGCTACAAGATCAGATGGGGAAAATAAAATCTCATGAGGTCAAGAGGAGAAAAAAACAATAGTAAATACAATGTGTAGTTGTTTAAAGCAAAAGCAAGGATGTCTGACACCACACGGGCTTCCCTGCCCTTCTGTCATTCCTTGGTGTTGGCTTAACACCAGCCTGGACCTTGTCTTATGACTTTTTAAAATCTCTTGTTTATTCTTTCCCTATCTCTTCTGCACTCAGTTTGTAGGCATAAAAAGAGGTCACTATAGGTGTTAATGATGAATTTAGCTTTGCTGGAAAGATGCCTTGAAGATTTATTTTTATCTTAGTAGAAATTTCAAGCTGTTCCTCTTACTAACCAAAGGCACCTTCTAGCTCAAAAATTCTGTAATTCTAAGATAGATACCATGATTCTAATAACAATAATGCCCCAATGAATATAGTGTCTTAAAAGTTGTTACAGATGCCATAAATTGCAGGCTATAAAAATTAAACATCTGTGATAATTAAAGTAAGTTTATGTTTGTGGAGTCTAAAGACCTTCACTTGCTATCAGGCAATTTTATAATCTAGGCATAAACTTCAGCCCTTCCATTCAGATGCAGATCCCGAAAAAAGAACTTGTAGAGGAATTAAGGATACTTAATTGAATGTATTGACTGACAACTGGGTTAGTGAATAAAAGGGAAACTAATATTTTCTTTGCCAACTGTTTAAGTGTTTATAAATATAAAATGCATTTAACTCGGTTTTCCTTTTCCATCAGTTTGAATATAATTAAAACATGTTAAAGTTCTTAAATCATAAATTCCCCCCAAAATGGTCAATTAAACGCTGTAACTTCCCTGGACATTTGCCAGTATGTATACTCAATGTTTTGCTTTCCCATCCTTCAAACACTGAGAATAAAAGTCACAGGAAATAGTCAAATAGAAATAGAAATTTTCTTTAAAAAGTCCAAGACTCTCCACAAGAATTCCTTTATCTTTTTTTATTAAGGTATCATTGATATACAATCTTATAAAGGTTTCACATGAGCAACATTGTGGTTATTACATTCACCCATATTATCAAGTTCTGTTATCGTTTTAGGGTGAAGTAAGGTGAAAATGTTTCCTTTTTTTTTTTAAATTACCAGTCGGCAAAGACTCCCACTGGTATGTTTCATTCTTTTCCTGAAGATGATTATATGACACAGCTCATGGTCTGCCTTGAGTTCGTCAGTTTTCGTTTTCCTTGTTCAGAGCACACAAATAAAATGACGTCTGGAGACCCAAGGTGGAAGAAGGGACAAATCTGCAAAAATGCATGTAAGCTTCTGTCAGTTTGTTTGCATTCTTAAAACTGTTAGAGCCCAGGCAGCTTATGCTTCTCATTTTCCCACTCTTCTGAAATGAAGATGCTTAAAAATACCCTTGTTCATCTCTCCGTGCTCTAAATGTCTAGCTGCCTTATTCTGCTTCAAAACAACAAAACCGAAATGATCACATCCATACAGATACACAAACCTTCTGTCCCACCAAGCCAAAGCATATCTCCTTTCCAACATGGCCTTTTTGAATAACTCTCCTTTTTTGAGGGGAGGGGAAGTTTTTGTTTTTGTTTTGCTTTGTGTTTTGAATGAGAGGCAGGAAACTATTCAAAGAGGAAGTAAGAACAGAAAGCAAACAAGTGATGAGTAAGTGGGCCATTTTCCAGAGTCAAGAAATTAATGCTATCTAGATCTGCACAATTCTTGTCCTTAGATTGTCAGTTTTTTAATTATTATTATTTTTGTTTGTTTTTTATTAAGGTATTATTGATATACACTCTTATGAAGGTTTCACATGAAAAAACAATGTGGTTACTATATTCACCCATATTATCTTGTCACCCCCCCCATACCACATTGCAGTCACTGTCCATCATGTAGTAAGATGCCACACAGTCACTATTAACCTTCTCTGTACTATACTGTCTTCCCTGTGACCCTCACACACCATGTGTGCCAATCATAATACCTCAATCCCCTTCTCCCTCCCTTCCCACCCACACCCTCCACATCCCTCCCCTTTGGTAACCACTAGTCCATTCTTGGAGACTATGAGTCTGCTGCTGTTTTACTCCTTCAGTTTTGCTTCATTGTTATACTCCACAAATGAGGGAAATCTTTTGGTACTTGTCCTTCTCTGCCTGACTAATTTCACTGAGCATAATACCCTCGAGATCTATCCATGTTGTTGCAAATGGTAAAATTTGTTTTTTTCTTATGGCTGAATAGTATTCTATTGTGTATATTTACCACCTCCTCTTTATCCATTCATCTACTGATAGACACTTAGATTGCTTCCATATATTAGCTATTGTAAATAGTGCTGCAGTAAACATATGGGTGCATATATCTTTTTGAATCCGAGAACTTGTATTCTTTGGGTAAATTCCTAGGAGTAGAATTCCCAGGTTAAATGGTATTTCTATTTTAAGTTTTTTGAGGAAGCTCCATATTGCTTTCCACAATGGTAGAACTAGTTTACATTCCCACCAGCAGTGTAGGAGGGTTCCCCTTTTTCCGTATCCTCACCAGCATTTGTTGTTCCTAGTCTTTTCAATGTTGGCCATCCTAACTGGTGTGAGGTGATATTTCACTATGGTTTTAATTTGCATTTCCCTGATAATTAGTGATGTGGAGCATCTTTTGTGTGCCTGTTGGCCATCTGAATTACTTCTTTGGAGAATTGTCTGTTCATATCCTCCTCCCATTTTTTAATTGGTTATTTGTTTTTTGGGTGTTGAGGCATGGGAGTTCTTTATATATTTTGTGTGTTAACCCGTTGTTGGATTTGTCATTTACAAATATATTCTCCCATACTATAGGATGCCTTTATGTTCTGCTTATTGTGTCCTTTGCTGTACAGAAGCTTTTTAGCATGATGTAGTCCCATTTTTTGTTTGCCTTGCCTGAGAAGATGTGTTCGGGATAAAGTTGCTCATGTTTATATTCAAGAGATTTTTGCCTATGTTTTCTTCTAAGAGTTTTATGGTTTCATGACTTTAGAGTTTACTTTTGTGTATGGAGTTAAACAATAATCCAGTTTCATTCTCTTGCATGTAAGCTGTCCCGTTTTGCCAACACCAGCTGCTGAAGAGGCTGTCATTTCCCCATTGTATATCCATGGCTCCTTTAACATCTATTAATTGGCCATATATGCTTGGGTTTATATCGGGGCTCTCTAGTATGTTCCATTGATCTATGGACCTGTTCTTGTGGCAGTACCAAATTGTCTTGATCACTCTGGCTTTGTAGTAGAGCTTGAAGTTGGGAAGCAAGATTCCCTCCTGCTTTATTCTTCCTTCTTAGGATTGCTTTGTCTATTTGGAGTTTTCTGTGCTTCCATAAGAATTTTAGAACTATTTGTTCCAGTTCTTTGAAGAATGCTGTCGGTATTTTGATAGGGATTGCATTGAATCTGTAGATTGCTTTAGATAGGATGGCAATTTTGACAATATTAATTTTTCCTACCCAGGAGCATGGGATGAATTTCCATTTTTTAGTGTCCTCTTTAATTTATCTTAATAGTATCTTGTAGTTTTCAGGGTATAGGTCTTTCAATTCCTTGGTTAGATTTATTCCTAGGTATTTTAATGTTTCTGATGCAACTGTGAATGGAATTTTTTTTCTGATTTCTATTTCTGCTAGTTCATCATTAGTGTATAGGAATACAACAGATTTCTGTGTATTAATTTTGTATCTTGCAAATTTGCTGAAATCAGGTATTAGATCTAGAAGTTTTGGAGTGGATTCCTTAGGGTTTTTATGTACAATATCATGTCTCTGCAGACAGTGACAGTGTAACTTCTTCCTTACCAATCTGAATGCCCTTTATTTCTTTGTGTTCTCTAATTGCTGTGGTAAGGCCCTCCAGAACTATGTTGAATAAAAGTGGAGAGAGTGGGCATCCTTGTCTTGTTCCCGATCTTAAAGGCTTTCAACTTCTTGCTGTTAAGTATGATGTTGGCTGTGGGTTTGTCATATATAGCCTTTATTATGTTGAGGTGCTTGCCCTCTATACCGATTTTGTGAGAGTTTTTAGCATTAATGAATGTTGAATTCTGTCAAATGATTTTTCGGCATCTATGCAGATGACCATGTGGTTTTTGTCCTTCTTTTTGTTGACGTGGTGGATGATGATGGTGGATTTTCGATTATTGTACCATCCTTGCATCCCTGTAATAAATCCTACTTGATCATGATACATGATATTTTTGAAGTATTTTTGAATTTGGTTTGCTAATATTGTGTTGAGTATTCTTGCATCTATGTCCATCAGGGATATTGGTCCATAATTTTCTTTTTCTGTGATATTTTTGCCTGTTTTTAGTATTAGAGTGATGCTGGCCTCATAGAATGAGTTTGGGAGTATTCCCTCCTTTTCTACTTTTTGGAAGTATGGGTATTAGGTCTTCACTAAATGTTTGATAAAATTCAGTGATGAAGCCATCTGGTTTAGAGGTTTTGTTCTTAGGTAGTTTTTTGATTACCAATTCAATTTCATTGCTGGTAATTTGTATGGATTTTTTGTTTCTTTTTGGGTCACTCTTGGAAGGTTGTATTTTTCTAGAAAATTGTCCATTTCTTCTAGGTTATCCAATTTGTTAGCATATAATTTTTCATCATATTCTCTAATAATTCTTTGCATTTCTGTGGTGTCCATAGTGATTTTTCCTTTCTCATTTCTGATTCTGTTTATGTGTGTAGAGTCTCTTTTATTCTTGAAAAGTCCGGCTAGGGGTTTATCTATTTTGTTTATTTTCTTGAAGAACCAGCTCTTGCTTGCATTGATTCTTTCTATTGTTTTATTCTTCTTGATTTTATTTATTTCTGCTGTAATCTTTACTATATCCCTCCTTCTACTGACTTTGTGCCTCATCTCTTCTTCTTTTTCTAGTTTTGTTAATTGTGATTCTAGACTGTTCATATGGGATTGTTCTTCTTTCCAGAGGTAGGCCTGTATTGCAGTACACTTCCCTCTTATCATGGCCTTTGCTGTGTCCCACAGATTTTGCAGTGTTGAATTATTCTTGTCATTTGTCTCCATATTTTGCTTGATCTCTATTTTTATTTAGTCATTGATCCATTGGTTATTTAGGAGCACGTTGTTAAGCCTCCATGTGTCTGTGGGCTTTTTGATTTTCTTTGTGTAATTTATTTCTAGTTTCATACCTTTGTGGTCTGAGAAGCTGGTTGGTACAATTTCAATCTTTTAAGATTCACTGAATCTCTCTTTGTGGCCTAGTATATGATCTGTTCTTGAAAATGTTCCATGTGCACTTGAGAAGAATGTGTATCCAGCTGTTTTTGAGTGGAAAGTTCTGTGATGTCTGTTAGGTCCATCTGTTCTAATGTGTTGTTCAATGCCTCTGTCTCCTTATTTATTTTCTGCCTGGTTGATTTGTCCCTTGGAGTGAGTGGAGTGTTGAAGTCTCCTAGAATGAATGCATTGTATTCTATTTCCCCCTTTAATTCTGTTAGTATTTGTTTCACATATGTAGGTGCTCCTGTGTTGGGCGCATAGATGTATGTAATGGTTATATCCTCTTGTTGGATTGTCCACTTTCTCATTATATAATACCCTTTTTTGTCTCTTGTGATTTTCTTTGTTTTAAAGTCTATTTTGTCTGATGCAAGTACTGCAACACCTGCTTTTTTCTCCCTATTAGTTTCATGAAATATCTTTCCATCCCTTCAGTTTTAGTCTGTGTATGTCTTTGGGTTTGAAGTGAGTCCCTTGTTGTCAGCATATAGATGGGTCTTGTTTTTTTTATCCATTCAGTGACTCTGTGTCCTTTGATTGGTGCATTCAGACCGTTCACATTTAGGGTGATTATCGATAGGTATGTACTTATTGCGACTGCAGGCTTTAGATTCATTGTTACTAGGTCCAATGGTAACTTTTTACTATCTGAGAGTCTAACTTACCTCACTTAGTATACTATTACAAACACAATCTAAAGGCTTTTCTTTTCTTTTTTTAAATTCTCCTCCATTTTTTATATATTAGGTATCATATTCTGTACTCTTTGTCTATCCCTTGACTGACTTCGGGTGTAGTTGATCCAATTTTGCATTTGCTCAGTAATTAAGTGGCTACTTTCTGTATTGTGGTTTTATTTCCTCTGGTGACAGCTATTAAACATTAGGAACACTTCCGTCTATAGCAGTCATTCCAGAATACACTGTAGAGATGGTTTGTGTGAGGTAAATTCTCACAGCTTTTGCTTATTTGGAAATTGTTTAATCCCTCCTTCAAATTTAAATTATAACCTTGCTGGTGGAGTATTCTTGGTTCGAGGCCCTTCTTTTTCATTGCATTAAATATATCATGCCACTCCCTTCTGGACTGTAAGGTTTCTGCTGAGAAATCTGATTATAGCCTGATGAGTTTTCCTTTGTGTGTGATATTTTTTCTCTCTTTGGCTGTTTTTTAATAGTCTGTCCTTATCCTTGATCTTTGCCATTTTAGTTATTGTATGTCTTGGTGTTGTCTTCCTTGGTGATCCTTTGTGTGTTGGGGTATCTGTGCACCTCCATGGCCTGAGAGACTATCTCCTTCCCCAGATTGGGGAAGTTTTCAGCAATTACCTCATCAAAGACACTTTCTATCCCTTTTTCTGTCTCTTATTCTTCTGGTACTCCTATAATATGTACATTGTTTGGTTTGGATAGGTCACACAGATCTCCCAATATTCTTTCATTCCTAGAGATCCTTTATTCTCTCTGCACCTCAACTCTTTGTATTCCTCTTCTATAATTCCTATTTTATTTATCATCTCCTCCACCATATCTAATCCACTTTTAAAACCCTCCATTGTATTCTGTAATGATTGGATCTCCATCCTGAATTCGTTCCTGAGTTCTTGAGTATGTTTCTGTACCTTCATGAGCATGTTAATGATTTTTATTTTGAAATCTTTCAGAAAAATTGATGAGTTCAGTTTCACTTGATCCTTTTTCTTGTGTTTGTGGGATTTTGGTTTGAGCCAGGTTCCTTTGACATTTCATATTTGTATGTGCTGCCCTCTAGTGCCCAGAAGCTCTACTCTCTGGAGCTGCTCAGCCCCTGGAGCAATGTTGGGGTTCACAAGGGAGTGGTGCTGATGCCTTGGGGGAGGAAAGCTGTTTCCTGCTTCCCAGGTGCTATCCCTATCTTCACTGCCAGGACCAATGAGCCAGTTACACAGGTGTAATCCTGTGTGCTTTGCGTTTGTAGCTGTTTTAGGTGGTGCTTCCCTCTGGCTGGCCTGACGCCATGGCAGGGGCTGCCGTTTTGAAAGCCAGGCGCAGACTGGCCATGAGGAATGTGCAGCAGGCTGTGTATCATGGTGGGGGGCCTTGTAGCTGCATAGCCAGCCAGTGGGATGGAGTGCCTGAAGCTCTTGAAAATTCCCAGCCTGTGGGCAGAGTGAGCCCGGGCAATTTTGTCTACCTATCCTTTCTCCTGAGTGGTAAGCTCCATGTAATCCTTCCCCCTTTAGCAGCCCTCTTGCTGTTAGGAAGTCTCTCAGACTACCCACCTTTCTTTTGTCCCAGAGCAGCTGCATATGGTTCACTGTTTTCCAAAAGCAGCTGGAATCTCAGTGTCTCCAGGTATTCTGCCTGTATTAGCTTTCCAACCCCACTAATCACTAGAGCACCGAGCAATGTAGGTTTGTGCTCCCAGAGCAGACCTCCATAGCTAGGTGTTCAGCAGTCCCAGGCTTCTACTCCCTCCCTGCTCTGTTTCTTTTCATCCTGCCAGTGCATTGGGGTGAGGGAAGGGCTTGCGTCCCACTGGATCATGGCTTTAGTATGTTACCCTGTTCCATGAGGTCTGTTCTTTTCTCCAGGTGTATGCAGTCTGACGCAGCTTTCTTTCCTGTTGCTCTTTCAGTATTAGTTGTATTAATTATATTTTCATATCATATGTGGTTTAGAGAGGAAGCCTCTGTCTCACCTCTCACACTGCCATCTTTAATCTCTCCTCCATTTTTTTTGGTTATTTTTAAGAATTCTACCAAACTGTGTAGACCAAATGATTGGTTTTTAACTCTTGTTTACAGTAATAAAATGTTTCAGGAGAAGAAGATGTCATGAATTAAATCTGCCTTGGATAGATTTTTAAGAGATCTGGCCTATAAAAGTCATCTGCCAAAGTTTTTTGTTGTTTTAGGTTTCAGCGTATTTCTCCTGACTTTGTGTGTGTGTGTGTGTGTGTGTGTGTGTGTGTATGTGTGTGTGTGTGTGTGTGTGTGTTAACTGGTAAAGTACACATAACAAAAATTTACCATTTTAAGTGTGTAATTCAGTCGCATTAAGTACACTCACATTGTGATTAACCATTACCACTATCCATCTCCAGAACCATTTGGTCATCCCTAAATGAAACTCTGTACCCACTAAACAATAACTCCCTACTACCCCTCCCCTCAGACTCAGATCCCACCATTCCACTTCTATGTATACTGCTGTACTAAGAAATAGTCTGCTGTACTAGGGCTGGTCAGCTATATCTCAACTGTGTAGAAAAGACTGTCTCAAAGCACTCAGGTATCCTGAACACATTACAGATTCAGAAGACGGTATCTTGCCTTTTGAAAAAAGTCAATGGTCCTTCCTTAGTGAGCACTGTCATCGCACAGGTGGGCACACTTGTGCATTGTCCTGGTAGAGAATTAACAAATCTGCTTTTCACCATATCCACCAGAGGGACAAAAACATTGTGCAATATCAGGTGATAAGAGCTGATACAAAGTGGCAGGTACATCATCTGAAATGGATCAATGAAACAGGTCAATATCAGACTTTTGGGAGGGATTTATAGTTTTTAATAATCTATCAGATCCTTGCAAACCTGTTGACAACAGGAGGACAACGTGAACATATAAAGAAAGTTATATTTACATTAAAAAACATGGCAAATAGTACATAGCATAGTGATTGAAAGTCTTTTAAGATAATATGTGTTCTCTGTGCCCTTAGGGTATGGCATAATGCTTGATACATATATTAGCATCTAATACTTTTTTTACTGAATTGAAGTCTTTATACAATGAGAATTTTGGTGTCTCTAGAACATGCTAGAATATTTTAGGATCCTATTTTATGGTACTACTTTTCGAATAAAACCACTGGTGAGAAGCTCCTTATGTAACTAGCCCATATGGATACAGTGCAGGATGAACTCATGTCCTAAATTCTGCTATATAATGAATAAGATGGCAACCAAAGTCCCACATATCAATGTTAAGTGAGAATAATGCTGATGTAAGAATATAGTCACATTTTGTTTTTACTGCAAAAAAAATTTTTTGTTGCAGCAAAACTCGAAAACCTCAGGTTTGGGTCTTTTTCTGCTTCTCAGAAGTTGTATCTAATGTTCAGAATTACTTGATTTTTTAGAAAGCTATGGCAATTGAGAGATTTAGTATAAAGTGGCCAGAAAAGCTCCAAGTCGAAATCACAGTGGGCAGACCTGCCTGTTACATAAACTAGCTGGTAAGTCTTGTTTAGAGGTGCCTTCTTCATTAGGTCATACTTACTAGCTCTGCACAATTCGTGATGACATTTCTCATCAGATTGGGAGTAGGCCATGGAAAAAAGGGAGTAGTTAATAACTCCATTATATGATAAGATACTAACTGGGTACATGAGTTGTAATGGTTACAAAATCCACCTTGAATTAGTTAGCTTTCCAAAGATCTGTCAATCCTTCAGTTGTTGCTCTAATTCTGTCAGCACTAAGTCCCCATGTAGTGAGGTTTGACACCATGTGGATGGGTCTGTGCTTGAAGTCTGACCTTCACAACCTCTGTGGTTGCCCAATAAATACTGTCTCTCCTTTATCTTAGCTCAGCTGAGATCTTACTTCCTAACTGAAGTGTTGCTATCCAGAGAGAAAACATAGTTATCAAGCAAAAGTGAAAAAAAATTAAGACCCAGAATGTATATCTGTGTCTTTTAAAATTTAGTGGTTAGAATGATATCTTTATAACTTTTTTACTTCCCTAATGCTTGTGCATCTGTTGATCAGGTACTAATTATGTGCTAAATCATAGTGGGGCTAGAAGATTTCAAATTTGACTGAAGTTTTTTAAAAATGAAGAGTTGAGGACAAAGAAAACACAATGCCTACTTAAACAGTGGCTTAGTTCTTCCCTATAGTCAGCTCTCTTTTTCAAGTTATTTCCCAGCTTGGAGAAGGTAACAGTCACCAGTGATGCTTAGTTTTCCTCTCATCAGTAGTCATGTTAATTATTGGACATTGCGGTCTTAGGAAAAGCCCAGGTGGACAAACTGCCCCAGTATGGGGATGTCAGCAGGCTTCAGGCTACAAAAGGGAAACAATAAGAAGAAGCCAAGAAAGTTTGAAAAATTAGGCAACTAAAGGAAGATTATCATTTAATAAAACTATAGTCTTGGAGCCCTGTGCCTGTTCCTATAATTAAATATAAGGTATGGATCAATCATATTTACTCGTCAAGGACTTCCTCAGTTCCTCTAATTCTGTTTCCTAACCTGTAAAACAGAGATGCTAACACCTCACTTACAGAGTCATTGTCGATCCAGTGCTTAACACACCACCTTGCTTACAGGACATACAGCAGCCCTCATCATTTCTGTGTGATAGCACTCCTTTCCCCTCATGCGTGAGGAGCTGGAGCACACTGTAGATAACCATCTTTTAATTGGCAAGATCATGTGACTACAACCCCCTCACTTCTGGCCCATATCTGTAACCATATTTTGATGCTCCTCCTACCCTCTGATCCTCTTTTCATTTTGCCATCAAGCTCCTGGGGAGAGAGATTATATTCTTTGTCTTCACCTCTCACAGGCCTGTTTCCTCTGCACTCCTCTGCAATCTAGCTTCCACCTCCACTACTCTGCTGAAGCAAACCCATGAGTCTCTATTGTTAGGCACATTGGTCACTTCCCAGTCCTTTCCTCACTAGATCTCTCTGCTCTCTTTGACCTACTGAGAGTCGCTCCTGTCACTCCCTGGAATCTCACCCAGACATTTCTCCTAAATTTACGTGCTAACTAGACTAGACATTATCTGTCACTCATCCTAACTGAATTTCTTACCTTCCCCCTTATGGTGATTTCTACATTCCTTCCTTCAATGAATGGATCATTAGCCAAAAACTTGGAAGTCATCTAATATTCCTACCTTTCCCTTATGACTTACTTCCACTTGCCTACCAAAGTTAGCCAATTATACTTCCTAGATCTTTCTGATTGGCCTCTCTTCTCTTTTCCTACTGCCACTGGTCTAGCATATCCTGGTCATTTCTTACTTTCTAACTTTCCCCTTTCTTACCCTTTTTCTATAAATTCTCTACATCATTGCCAAAGGGATCTTTTGAAAATATAAATTGTTTATGCCACTTCCCTTACATTTTTCAATGATTCTTGTCACTGTGAGGATAAAATCCAAACTCCTCAGTATGGCCTGGAAGGCATCTTGTGATCTGGCTCCTTCCTGCATTTCTGCCTCTACCTCTCCTTCCTTGCCAGCCTGTCCTCCCTCTGTGCCCGGTGTCCTCTCCATGCCTGAGTCTCATATCTGACCTTCACTCTACTTGAAGGTCCTTCTCCATCACCTCACCTGATTACTCCCACTGACCCTTCAAGATTCGACTGAGACATTAATACTTCAGGTTGTTGATGCATGACCATGCCCCCAAGGTTAAATATTCTTCTCCCATGTGTGCAGCAGCCTTTAATTACTACTAATACAGCATGAGTCATAGCATATTATCATCTATTAACTTGTTCTACCTACACACCCATACTATGAACTGTAAGCTCTTGCCCTAGAGATATCTGTTACCTGTGCACTGAATAGTTTCTGGCACATGGCAGTTCAATACAACTCATGGAATGAGTGGGATAGGTATAACATAGAATATGGCTGAAATACGTCCTATTGATTTGATTGATGTCTAAACAACAGGTAGTGAGGCCAGTCAGTTCTGAAGAAAACCAGAATAGGCAGCTTTACATCTATGTGTTTCCTCTCTTGCTACATCTGTAAATATGACAATACAGTATTCTGTTATCCTGTCTGTAAAATGGGGACAGTAATCATAATTATAGTAATATTGTGAGGATATAATTAAATAACACTAGTGAAAGTCTTAGCACAATAACTAGAGTGGTACCTAGAAAGGGCACATTAAACAATCATTACAATTGCATGTTTTATTAATACAATTTGGATGACTACTTTGCAGGTTGTTGGAGGGAATCAAAGCACTGAACCAAAGGGCTTCCTAAAAGATGTGAAAGGTCCCTTCACACTCTGACAGCTTGAGCTCATGACTCTGTGACCCACCCTTAGATGTAGTTATTATGTAGGAGAAGCAGGACTGGGACTCAGATCTCTTTACTGAGGGCAGCCAGGAGTAGCATGAAGGTGATGGGGAACATTCCAGCTGAGAATTACCTGAAGCTCCTGGTGCCAAGAGCTGCTGAGCCTCTTTTTGGATAAGGACATGATAGCCAGGTTAAAGGTCACAGCCTAGTTCCAGGACCCTCTCCTTCCACCATCCTTCTTCTTCCTACCCTCCCCAGACAAAAGGAAATCATAGTGGTGCATTCTGCCTGGCAGAAAGGACTTGGCTAAAGGTTAAGGATTGCAGTCCCGGTGTAACTGTGACATGGAAGCCAGGGAAAGCCACAAAGATGAGCTGAGGTCACGTTGGGAGCATTCTTTGTGATGTCTACAGCTGTTGTTTCAAACACTGCCTGTTTCCACCCCAAGTGGGATCTCCTTTAATTGGAGTCACCTTGACCTTTTTTTAAGTCTCTTCATTCAGACTTTGAAGTTTTTAAAGGACCTCTTAAAAGAGCAACCAAGGTTGCCTCCTTTGCAGAGAAAATAAAAGGTGTGCAGTAGAATGTAGGGCTCTTAGAGAGGTGGAGATCTTTGGAATGTTGGAGCTGAGCTACACTTTGCTTTCATTTGTGTTTTGGAGGGAGTAGTGAGAACTATGTCAGGAGCTTATGACTGTCAGTGGAGGCCACCAGGGGGTCAACTGGGTCACAGGCCAGCCCCGGATGTGAGCTGCCAGAGGGCACATTAGCCAAGGAGGATGTCTTGTGCCGCAACAGGCAGGTTGGCACTGCAAAATTTGGTCAGTTTAAGGCCAGGAACCTGAGAGGATATTACATTTTAAGAAAAAATAAAATCTCATGGAAATATTTAATGTTAGGTAATTCTCGCGTCATGAAGAACATCATCTATCTTCCATAAAATCTTTTCTTCTTTTGATCCTTTGGCTTCCTGTGTTCGAAATAACATAAAGCACATTGTCTCTGCTGAATGCTGCCTGAAGCAGATTCTTCTGTCAAGCTCTTCTTGATGATATCATTTCAGTTATACTTGAATTAAAATACTCGTCCTCCTTTTCTGCCTTAATGGTTTCCAGTATTAAGGGGGAATGTATCCTTTTAGATTGACTGGAGGTGTAAAGCTTTGATGAGAATATCTTGAATGTGGGTCTCAAATGTAGTCCCAGGAAATGGTCTTCAGGCAGTAGAAGCAACTAGCCAGGGAACGTGGGACTGAGCAGGTGCAGCTGGGACCTTTGCATCAGGTCTGCTCTGTTGCAAAACCGAGTAGCTATTGAGAACATCATTCAGAAATACACCTCCCCTTTGGAAAGTCATTAGCTTACATGGGGATGGAGTAATTCATTGTGCTTAACAACCTACTCATTTTCTTTCATTTTATTCCCCTCTTGTTATCATAGTGAATGGCATATAAGAACTAGAGATGCAAAAAAACAGAAGCCAACCATAAAATGAGTTAACAGATTTGATCTCATGAAAATTATACATTAGTGTAGAACACAAGAAACCAAAAGTAGAAGACAAATCCATGAGAAATTGAAAGGACCAGTATATATTAAAAAAAGAAAAATCCAACCTCCCTGCTATAAGAGAAATTCAAATTAAAATGAAATGTCAACTTTCATCGATCGGATTAGTAAAAATTAAAAGATTGTTGAACTCAAATGTCAGTGAATGTGTGTGAGAAGACAGTGCTGGCTTTTGATGAGAGTGTGGAAAAGTGGATTATTTTGAAAAGCAATTTGACATAATTTGTTACAATTTTAAATGTGCATTTTATTCCTTAGTTCTATCCCAAAAAAATATTCTTGCATATTCCCCAAATGTCTTTATGGTGATATTCACTGCCACAACGTTTATAATAAGATGAGTCTACCATAATAAAAGTCCATCAACTGGGAGGGGGGAAGGCTGGTGTGGTGTGGAACATTCCCTTTCTATTGAAGACTGTGCTGCCTCTAAAATAAATAGGGTAGATGTAGATACACTGATATGGAAACTTTCCCTAAAGCTTAGGTGATCTAAGCATCAGGGAGAGCTTTGATCTTAGTTTTTAGTTTTTAGTTTGATTGTATTTTTGTTTCTTAAAAAAATGTGTGTATGTACATAGATGTGTATATGAATTCATAGACCAAATGAGCTTCAATCTATCAATAGGAGGATGGTAATAAAGGAAGATGTGGGAAATAAGAGTTGAGATGCTAATAAAGGAGGATTTCTATATGATTTTCTGTTGTTTAATATGAGTATTGTTTTTGGCTGTTGCATCTGGGTATTGTATTAAAAAGTAAACACAAAAAATTAGATATTATTATGTGATGTTCATGAAGATGCACTCATGTTTATTGAAGACTTCTCTGCTGCAGAATGTAGAAAGTTTAAAATCACCAAAGCAGCAAGATTAGACACTGGCAAACCTTTCTACAAAGTATCATTTTTCAAGAAATCTCAGCACATGGGTAGGCATCTTGCTAAGGAAATGAGTGGCTCTGTAAGCTCCCAGACAGTGGGAATCTTTCCCTGACCTCATCACCCCCCTTGTCAGCGCTGATTACTCAGGGCTCTTTACTGAGTGGGGTGGATGAGGGTGCAGCAGAGTTCCTGGGAGGGAGGAGCACAGCCTGAGGAACTCCAACCCTTAGGGCTCTTCACAACAAACACTCCACTCCATCAAGCCACTCCATCAAGGGTTTGCTCTAAAACCCTCCTTTATGTTCCTCCCCATTTAGAAAGAAGATGGAATTCTGAAGGAGATTCTGAAATCTCATGTCAACCTATATATATTATTAAAGCTACTTCTACTTCTACTTCATTTTCAAAGAGAGTATCATTTTATAATTAATCTTCCTAAAAGACACATTTCTGACTTCAGGTACTAGATGGATACAGTTAAACTAAAGAATAGCAAAGGGAAACGATTTTTTTTTGTCATTATATCCATGACAATTGCAATTGCATTTTTTTTATTTTTAATTACATATTTACAATTATATGAGGAACATTGTTTACTAGACTCCTCCTATCACCAAGTTCCCCCCACATACCCCATTACAGTCACTGTCCATCAGCGTAGTAAGATGCTATAGAATCACTACTTGTCTTCTCTGCATTGTACAGCCCTCCCCTTGCCCCCCACGCTACATTATGTCTGCTAATAGTAATGCACCCCCCTTTTTCCCCCTTATCCATCCCTTCCCACTCATCCTCCCCAGTCCCTTCCCTTTGGTAACCATTAGTCCATTCTTGGGTTCTGTGATTCTGCTGCTGTTTTGTTCCTTCAGTTTTTTTCTTTGTTCTTATGCCCCACAGATGAGTGAAATCATTTGATACTTGTCTTTTTCTGCCTGGCTTATTTCACTGAGCATAATACACCCTAGCTCCATTCATGTTGTTGCAAATGGTAGGATTTGTTTTCTTCTTACGGCTGAATAATATTCAATTGTGTATATGTACCACATCTTCTTTATCCATTCATCTACTGATGGACATTTAGGTTGCTTCCATTTCTTGGCTATTATAAAAAGTGCTATGATAAACATAGGGGTGCATCTGTCTTTTTCAAACTGGAGTGCTGCATTCTTAGGGTAAATTCCTAGGAGTGGAATTCCTGGGTCAAATAGTATTTCTATTTTTAGATTTTTGAGGAACCTCCATACTTCTTTCCACAATGGTTGAACAAATTTACATTCCCACCAGCATTGTAGGAGGGTTCCCCTTTCTCCACAACCTCGCCAACATTTGTTGTTGTTTGTCTTTTAGATGGTGGCCATCCTTACTGGTGTGAGGTGATATCTCATTGTGGTTTTAATTTGCATTTCTCTAATGATTAGCGATGAGGAGCATCTTTTCATGTGAAATTCTTTTCATGAGAAATTCATGGCCATCTGAATTTCTTCTTTGGAGAAGTGTCTGTTCATATCCTGTGCCCATTTTTTAATTGGATTATTTGTTTTTTGTTTGTTGAGGTGTGTGAGCTCTTTATATATTTTAGATGTCAGCCCTTTATCGGATCTGTCATTTATGAATATATTCTCCCATACTTTAGGATGCCTTTTTGTTCTATTGGTGGTGTCCTTTGCTGTACAGAGATTTTCCACTTGATATAGTCCCACTTGTTCATTTTTACTTTTATTTCCCTTGCTCAGGGAGATATGTTCATGAAGAAGTTGCTCATGTTTATGTCTAAGAGATTTT